AGGAAGGCGCAGCCATGGCCGGGGGGCGCCCGGGGGTGCACGCCCTCCAGCTGGAGCCCCTGCGCGTCCCGGAGACCTTGATCAAGGGCAGCAAGTTCATGAAGTGGGACGAGGTGAGTTGTTGTGTTTTTTTGGGGGGGTTGGGAGGAAGAAGAGCAGGATCCAGCCCCAGATCGCCCCTCTTTCCAGCCCCCTTGCAGGGCAAACCCCTTCCTCGGCCCACCCTGCACCCCAAATCTGTGTAAAGAGATCCCCACTTTCTTTGCAACCTCGCCCCCCCCTTTCCCACCCTCTCCTTTTGCAAATCCTTGACGGGGAGCAAACTTGTGTTCCCCCCCCTTTCTGTGACTTTGCACCCCCTCGTTTTAAAGGGGGATTCCCCTTGAGTAAATAAGAGAAAGGGATAGGATCTCCCGACACCCCCTTTCTGGAAAGTCCGGGTGCTGCTTTGCAGAGTCCCCTCAAGCGATCGGTTTCTGGGGACCCTCTGTTCCCACAAGGATCCAGTAGATCTCCTTCCGTGGGCAGCCCTAGAGAGAACCTCTTTCGACTTTCTCCCGTTTCTTCTCCACCCCCTTTTTTCCTCCTTATCTCGTAAAGACACTCCTGGATTCCTTCCTTCTTAAACTTCCTAATTCTTTATATTTCTAAGTTGTTAAAGGGGGGGGGGGGGGAAGGGCAGAAGCTCCTTCCCTTTCTTCGTGCAAACTTTTGGGAGGGGAAACAAATCCATTCCCCCCCCCAATCCGTGTGCACATACCCTCATTGTTTTTCTATTGAAGATCCCCCTTTCCCAAAGAAGTCAAGGAAGTTCTTTCCAAGTGCCCCTCCCTACCCCATACAATTCCTTGAAAGAGATTCCCCCCATCTTGATTTTTGGGGGACCCTCTTCCCAGATTCCCACTCTTTGAATCCTTGCTCTTAATTTTTTCTGGCTCTTTCGCACTATTCTCCCCCCCCAGCCCAGATCTTGAACCCCATGGGGGTAGAGTATTTTAGTATTTCCCCCTTCCTCATGTGCTGTCAATAAGATTTTCTTCAACAGGGTGTGGGGATTGTCTTGTCCTTCGTCTCCACGGGCCTTGTTATGATGCACCCCTTGCAGAGGATGATTATTCATGCTGGAAATCACCCAAGCTTTTACTTTTAAAATTCTGCCCGACCCTGTTCTTTCCTGTTTTCCCAAACGGGGTCAACCCCAGACGCGACCTCTTCTAGCGAGGAGCTGTCAAGAGGGAGACGGACAGATTTGGGTAGGGCACCTTCCCAGTATAGCCGTTTCCTGCTTTCTCTCTGGCTTGACCAGTTTCACCTGTCCATTTATGGGGCAAACACCCCCCCCCATTTATCCTATACTGTACTTTTTTGGACGCTTGTCTGTTATCTCCCCAAAACAAGATGCCTTTGACTGTGTTGTGGTGGGAGGACTTTCATGCGTGCAACGTGTAAGGGTGCTTTTCTGTATCTATGGAAGGAACAATTGGGGGGGGTGTCTTTTGGAGTCTTTCTCATTTCATTTGAATGGAGTGGAGCATGGACACCCTTTTGCAGTGTGTCCCCCGCTTCCACCCCAGACTGGCTTCTGGCGCATGCCTGTGTCGAGACGGCGCATCCAAGATGATCCGGGTCTTTGGATATGTGTGTAAATCTTGTGCACCCCAAGCCTTTGGATATCAAGAGTGGGAAACAGGCTGGGTTTTATGCTGAGATCCTCATCCGGGGCTGGATGTGGGGAGTGATGTTCGCTGATCCATGCGCATGGAGTTCACTCAGAGCGAATACGCAGAGGCCAAACCCCACAGCAACTCCTAAGGTGTGAGGCACTGTCTTGTTCTGGATGTCAGGGCTTTAGTGAGTGGGGTTTGTTGACATTGTGCATGACTGCGCGCGCATGTGCTTGTGTGGATGGGCAGAAGCTGCACCCATTAGGGAAGACACGTGTACATGGAGGAGGCGCATGGAGGGGGGCCTCCAGAATGGGAAGACGGTGTATGCAATTCTTTAAGTTGTAAAACTCTGGGCATAGCGGCCTTGATGTGGAAGCCATCTTGAGGCGGTCATCTGTATTGCTCAATTTATTTCAAAACAGGCCGGGCCAAGAATTCGAAGGGTGTTGAGGATGTGGGAGCCTCAGCCAGCTGAGGGGGGGCACGTGTATGTGGGGATTTCTACCCCAGAGCCAGGATGCTAGCCGTGGTGGCGAGGAGATAGAGAGCAAAACTGTGCCCATGGGTGTCTCTGGACTACAACTCCCAGGATTCCCTGTGCTCTAGGATTCTGGAAGCTGTAGTCCAAAACCTTAAAAGAGGCACCAGGACCCCCCCACACACACACTAAAACCCCTCCGTGGGCTGACGGAGGGGAAGAGATGTGTCTGAGAGGCCACATCTCCGGGCAGCCTCAGCGGTGGCCCTTTCGGTCTCTTAACCAAGCCCGCCTCGCAGGAATGTTGTGTGGAGAGTGTTTGGAGAGGGGGGGGAACCTTGCAGGCTGGTTTTCTATGCCTGGGTGGCAGGAAAAATACCCGTCCATGGTGGAGGGTGGGACAAAATAAATGGGGAGCCAGGGGGCAGGATGGGCAGAGCCGGCCCCGAATGGGCCTTAGTGCCATTTCCCCTTGAAAGAGGAGCGTCTTGGCGACAGTGAGGTCCAGCGGTTGCATGGAGGAGCAGAGAAAAACCCTCTTTTTTTGTGTGCCCTCGGCCTAACCCTCTTTTTCCTTGGTTACTGGTCGCCAGGGCTGGCACGCTGGCTCTCCCCCCCCATCTTTTTTCTTTTGTCCCCTCCCTCGGCCTCCCCGCTCGCTCAGGGTTTCACAAGCCAAGGGCCTGTGACAACAGCTCCCTTTTGGCCTCACTTCCTTCTGCTCCAGCCAGCCCCAAAAAAGGAAGTGGGCGCCTTAGGCCAAAAAACAATTAAAAGCAACAACAACAGAAAAGGAGAAGATCTAGAAGATGGGGGAAGGCATGGGCCCCACTTTCTTTGGCAAGGCAGATCAGAGGGATGGGGGGGCAGAAAAGAGAGGCGATGACCCTCTGCCCCCCCCCTCACGGCTAACCCACACCCCTCCTGCAGCCAAGAACACTGAAGCTGGGTGAGAAAGGAAGGAATTTAGGATTTGCTAGAACACGTGCAGTGCAAAAAATAAAAAATAAAAACCCCGATGCCCTTTCTTCTTTAGGCCAGCCCCACATAACCAGGGGCATGGGTCTGTTTTGATTTGGGAGAGGAGAGAGCTGCGGAAGAGGTGCCTGGAGACATGTCCACGTCTGCAAATTCTAGATTGCGCGTGCATGAAAATTTCAGAGGGACTGGGTCTGACCCAGGCCTCTCGTGATCCTGATGCCTCTTTTGGGTTGTAACTTTGCTAAAGAGGGAGAGACGTGTGGGGTTGAGGGGAGAGATCATCGCCTTCAGAGACCCTAACGGGTTTTTTTTTTTTGAGGCTCACGAGATGACATTCAAGGAGTGGTTTTCCTGTTGTCCCTCCTCCCGTAGGTTTCCATGCAGGTTTTGAACTCGGATTGCAGCCTGACATTCTATCCACCACACTGGATACTACTCTTCTGCCATTAATTTTTTTTAAAAAAACACACACACACACCAAGCGTCAGCTTTCGAGTCCTACAGGGTTCTTTGTCAGCCTGGACTGAAGAAGAGGGCAAGATTCAAAAATCGACTTCCGTCTTTGAGACTTTCGTGCTCTAAGTTATAGCCTCTATGTGTTTGGGGATTTCGCACCCGGACCCTGATAGTTTTCATGCCGTGTTTCCTTGGTGGCAGCCGCGGGCTGTAGTCCTCACCTGCAAGCTTCATTGCTCAACTGGTCTCTTTGATGTCAGAAAGAGCGTCAACTTGTCTCGACGGATGAGGTGCCCGGAAAGCAGGAGATTCCGGGGTTTGGCAACCCCAGATCCCCGCATTCCTGGGCTTCCCGCTTCCCTGTCTGTTTTTCGCTTCTCTTTCCCTTCGTCCTCTTGCTGGAGGATGTGAAATCTAATGAATATTTGCACAGGCCGAGGAAACATGTTCCCGGGGTGTTTGCCAGCTGACCCCCCGCCCTCTTTGCTCCAGAAATGCTTTTCCAACAGCTGTGAGAAGAGGGAAATGGTCTTTAAGAAATCTCCCAGGGAATCCTGTATCTGATCCGGAGGTTGGCGCAGGGAGAGATCCGTGGGGCCAGAAATGAATGTGGCAGCATGGGATGTTAAAAAACAACCCCCCTGCTTGATTTTAATTTCTCCCACTCCAAACATCCCGTATCCGTAAACGTCTGTATTAAAGATTTTCCACTTCACTTAACTTCCCTACTAGATCGGGGTGGTGGTGGTGTGTACTGGTTTATTTCAGCCTAATCCATTTGACAGGACAATGGTCAGGATTAAATCAAACAGGGGATCCCACATGTGCCCCCCCCCACCCTCTGCATTTCCTCAAGAGAGAGTTCGAGAAATTTAAAAAAGTGGTGGCGAAACTATATATGGCAAAGCTGGGGGGAACGACTCGTTGTTTATAATGCTGGAATCCCTTCGAGACGGGTGGGGGGCTTCTGGGCGTCGTAATCCAGAAAACCTTCGCATTTCCAAGATCTGCATGCAAGGGTGTTATTGGCTAAATCTGTTAGGATTTAGCGAGAGCCGGCTGAATGGCATTTGATATGTTTACATGAAGGCCGAGCCTATTTGGAGAATCCTTCATTTTTCTTCGGTATTTATCGTCGTTGCTGGTGCGTGCGAAAGATCTCCCTCTCTGTCCTTCCAGTGGTCGTTCTGTGCTCTTGAGTAGTTTCGGAGTTACGACGTGGATTTTTTTAAAAAATGCGTGTGGGATGTGCAATGCCACCTCCCCCCAGTGAGTTTCCTTGGTTGAGCGAGGATTTGAACCCAGGTCTCAAACTGAACAAGGAGAGTCCTAGTCTATCCACTATACCCCCCCGGCCTCACTCTCATAAAACCCTCACATATTTTCTAGCTTCTGATGACAGTGTTGTAATTGAAATTCTTGAGGATTTTTTTTTGGGGGGGGGGGTGCCGGCCAGATCCCAAACATTCCTTTAAAGAGGAAGCATAATTTTGCTGTTGTGTGACTGAGGGTATTTTTTTTACCTCTGCCG